TCCCTTTTAAAACTCTTGTTTCAGGACATACTGGGTATTCTCCCAGTGGGGAGCCCACTGACATCCAGCATCTCCTCTAGTATCACCTCCAGTCTGGCTGCAACGCCCCCAAGCCCTGCTGGCACCAGCAGCATACCAGGCATGAATGCCAATGCCCTTCCCTTCTACCCAACCAGTGACACCGTTGAGTCTGTCATAGGTAACTTTGCCTTTTTTTACTTACACTAGTAGGGCTTCCTCAGACATGGATCACCAGGTATGAGAGTTGCAGTAGCATGGGTGTTCCAGTGAGCTCCAGTTTTTTGTCTCTGTCAGTGCTGCCACATTTCCCAGGCTCTAAGCTTTTTCTGTGACTCTGACACATCTGATGTTTTCTGCAGGTTGTTATGGATGAAATTCACCCAAGGGACCAACAGAAGGCCTCTGAGCCACTTATTCAGAATGTCAGATGGTGTAAAGGGCCTTAGTTTTGGTTGTCAAAGTGACAAAGAGGTCTTTGAGTAGGCAGGAAATCACAGGGGCGTTTTCCACAGTTATGACCCCTTATGTTCTAAATGATGATTTTATAGCAAGGGCGACTAACAGGAAGATTATAAGGATTTGCCCTTCATTGAGTGTAGGACAGATGCTATAAGAAAAAGGAGAAGAGGATAGTCCAAAGAGCAGAATCATTCCTCTTAGGTACAGGGGTTTTTTTGTCACCTGTTTTTCTTTATTTTTTTCCCTCCTCCCCTCCCTTTTTTTAGTCTAACATTTCTGAGGTGATCTTACTAATTTGTTAAAAATAATAATAGAGGTGAGTGGGCATGTGTGGGATGGAATTCTATTGATCATGATTAGTGATGAGGCATATTCAAATAGATGTAACATTTGCAGGCATTCATAATCTTTCTTTATTTTACACTCTGTTTGAATCTCTGATGTTTTTCAAGTGTTCCTTCTACTGGAATTTCTTTTCTGACTGGCTCTTCAGCAAATTAGGGACAAAGCACAAGCCAGATCCAGACATGTCATAAGCTAGTGTTACTGCATATTATGGACACACTCAAAAGAGCAGTTTGGGGAATACTTATGGGAACTGCTGTTTTCCTATAACATTTGGGAATACTTTGAGATGAAAAGAACTGGATCAGACCAAAGAACCTAAACTCAAAAGCTGCCCATGACACTTTCTGCCAAGCCATTTAAGAATAGCATAGCACAGGGTGGAGAGTAGGGCCATGCAGACTGACAGATAGTGAGCAAAGGCTCCTCTGCATGTCGGCTCTTTGGGCCATCCTATCTCTTGAAGTTGTTGGTCCTTTATAACATAATTGGTACCTCTGTGTCTGGCAGAGTCTGCCTTGGATGACCTGGACCTGAATGAATTCGGAGTGGCTGCCCTGGAGAAGACATTTGACAGCAGCACAGTGCCCCACACGAGTGGCATCATGATAGGTACATGAAAGCAAAGGAGCTTTCTTTATCTTCTGCCAAGCAGTGTTGCCTAGTCACCTCAGTGGAGCCATCCAACAAAGCTCTAAAACCAGTCCCAAATTTGCATTGGTTAAAACAGCAATTATAACAAACCCTGGCAACCACTGAGAGTCTTTGAAGTGAAAGCTTGCCCTTATTGACTAGCAGAGCTGAGTTCTTGCCATTGGGCTCAGGCGTCTTGGGGATGTTTCTTGAAACTGAATGGGACTTGATATGGGTTTTTTGTTTTGTTTTTTTTTGTTTGTTTGTTTGTTTGTGGTTTTTTTTTTGTTTGGGTTTTTTTGGGGGGGGCGAGGGTTTAGTTTTTTGGTTTTGTTTTGTTTTTTTTGGAGCGTGTAAGTAGACTCTAGAAGGCATTTGATACCTTTAAAAACAGGCCAAGGTATAATGATTTGCATCTTAAGCAGAAAACTCTCCCTAGCAGTAACAAGAAACTCACTGACCTGGTAATGCTATCCATCTGTCACAGAGTGTCATCATGGTCTGCCGGCTTGATCCCTGTAATGTGTCTCATTTTAATATGTGGAGGTATTCTAAGGTTGCTTCTACCTGTCTAGTTTCTACTAGAAGGCTAGTAAGGCTAAGAGGTTTTTGAAGGGGAGCCACCTTTGGTTGCCTGAAGGTTTAGAAGGCAACTACACTCCTGGACCTGTACTGAAGTAGGAAGGGACTTATGGAAGGAACCCTGAAGAATATCGCTTCTGCTTTCCTGCCAAAGATAAGAGCGTGGTTGGAGAGTTTACTGTACATGTCTTCTGCTGCTACCCATCTGCAGTGGTTTAGAGATGCTCCACACTGCTTTTCCCTCTGTTTATGTCAGGTCTGGGTGTTACCTGGTGAATGTCTAAGGGAGATGAGGAGAGAGTGGGGAGCAGGGCTGAGATCTCCCTCAAGCTGTCTGTGGCAGGCAGAATGACCTCTTGGTAAGGGAAGTGTGATGTCTTTGGAGGTTGGGCTTTTGTTTATTTGAGGCTGATGGATCCAGGCACTCAAGTATGTCTAAAATGACTGAAGCTTCTCACTGATTTTTAGTGGTTAAGATCATGACTGACCAAGCATGACAGTTGTCTTACTACAGGTTGTTTGGAAGTATTAAAGGCAGAGGAATATGTTTTCGCACTGAATTTTTCATTGCAAAGTATTTCACCAGATGAAAAATTTACCTTCTCTAGACTGATAGGGACTGAACTCTGCTCAGAATATCTTTTGTTGCTTTGGCTGATGAAAGAGTAGTCCATTGAACTCTGGAGGGTTTCAATCTATGTAGTTCACAGGGCAGTAGCCTTCTCTTAAAGGCAGAGAGAGGAATGGAATGTGATGAGAAGCAGAGGGAATTCTGAGGGGCTTAGGGAGGAGAAAGGGAACCCAGTGCCTTCTGCTCTGAACTCCTGCGCTGTGCCCATACTTCATATTCATACATAGCCATCCTCTCTGTGTGTTCTTTGTCCAGGTGGGAGTTTGCTGCAAAGTTCTGCTCCTGTAAATATCCCCGGGTCACTTGGAAGCTCTGCCTCCTTCCACTCTGCCTCTCCTTCTCCACCGGTCAGCCTCTCATCGCATTTCCTTCACCAGCCCCAGGGACACTTAAGCCAATCAGAAAGCACGTTCCTGGGGACATCAGCTTCTCATGGATCATTAGGTAAATGCACAGTGTGTGTGTTCCCCATGTACATGCCTGTCTGTGCCATGTAAGTATTTTCTTTTAAGTTAGCTTTAATTTTAATGTACTATTTCACTGCTGCCATTTGTCTCTCTTCTCATGAGAACAGCAACAGTACTAGAAGCTGCTTTACAAAAAATCAGCTAATGCCTTGTGAACAAGGGAGCAATTCCCTCTACTTCCTATGTTTCAAGGCTGAGAAGAAGGGGCAGATAGGTTAAGTGACTTACTGTGATGATGATGATGAAGGAAAAGAGCTCTGCCTTTTCCTGCCAACAATGCTTTGCTGAATCTTTGCTTCACATAAAACTCAGAGTTGGGTCCTCAGCTTTGCTTAGTTAAGGTAGTAATTACAGTTTGTCCTTAGGACTGCTTGTGGGTCCAATTGACTTCTAGGAGCTCTAGAGCAGATGTGGGTGATTTTTTTTTATTGTGTGCCCCCCCCCCCTTGGCTCTCTATATGCGGCTTTGCAAAAAGTTAGTGCTCCAGCTTCAGCTTTGTCCCCTTTGAGGATATGTTTTGTGAAGGGATGAGAAACTGCTTTGAAGCTTCACAGCTGTATGAAGCACAACTGGGAAGTGAGGAGCCAAATCTGTTTTATTATCAAGACACAGTCTTACCTTGAGAAATAAAACTGGGCTCAAGGCTGCAGTGACACTGGCTCTGCTCATTTCTGTTAGTAAATATTAGTTCTCTCTCTTGACACTAGATGTAAATGTTTCTTCAAATTTGAGATACACTAATCTTTATATTCAGCTTAACCTCATAAAGTGATTACATGCTTTTGTAATCTGTTTCTGCATACACTTGTCTGTGTAACTGCATTCCTTGTTTGCATAGGCCAGAACCTGCCATGCCTTGGGATAGCTATTTGCTTGGCTTTAACAGCTTTTAAACTTACTGTAATAAGAAAAGAGACATCAGAGGGCATCTCTGCTAGCAATTAGTGTTGAGGCTGTAAGAAAACGAAAATTTGCTGCTTTTAATTTCAGAAGAAACAAGCAGTTATATTTGTCTTGACCATGTATTTATACTAACAAAAACCCAAAAAAGAAATGCAGAATATTCACACATGTATTTAAATTTATTTTTAAGAAAAAAGATATTTTCTTGTAATACAACAAAAGCATTTTGCCAAGGCTTTGGTAAGATATTTAAATAGTAACCTAGCAGTTGGGAATCTGGAGTCTCTCTATTCCATGTGACTTGCTGAGTGCACAGAGATTAGTGTGTAGTGTGTGTAGTTATTACTTATTTGTATTGCAGCTGAGTTAAAAATACGTAGTCCTGGGCTAGTTCCCACTGTGTTAGATGCAAAATGTGCAGAGAAGGCGTTCCTGACCAATGTTAGTGTAAAATAAGAACAGCAGGTTGAAAGAGGGAGTACAAAGGAATGACAAGATAAGCTTGGTCAGCATTATGGCAGAATTTGTGGTTTGCCAGCATCCTGCTTAGTGCTAGGTTCCCATTTGAGAAAACTGGATTATTTTAAAGCAAAATGAGTTGGGATTCCATTAAGACTTCTTGCTTTCGACTGAGCACACTTCAGAGCAGCTGAAATGGATCTGTGGTAAGTGGCTTGAGCCTGGTGGATGACTTGTGAAGGCATCTAGGTCCTTAGTGAAGACAAGTTACTATTTTTCAGCTGTGTTTTTCTGTAACCGCGTCTTGGGTGGTACTAAAAGGGAAGCAAGTTGTGTGGGTTAGCCCTCAGCAAGAGGCCATAGGCACCAGGGCTTGTCAGAAACTGTCAGTTCAGCTGCTGTTAAGATCAGAATTAACAAATACAACTAGATCTAGGAATGTCTGCAGCCAGTGGTAAGCACCACTGAATGAAAATGACTTCTCCATCAGACTGGCACATGTCTCTGCGTAAGAGTCCATATCACTCAGCAGCTCAGTCTTGATAGTAGCTTTTCCTACTAGTTTTCCCCTTAGTACAAAGTGTAGATGCTTTTTTAAGTAGATTCTTTTTTTTTTTTTTTTTTTTTTTGCTGTTATTGTTATTACGAGTCTGTGAAAAATAGTGTTTTGCTTAAAACTGTTTTTCTACTGCTTTGTCTCCTAAGCCTTGAATTTCTTTCTGAAAAGAGAAATTACTTGAACAAGCTAAAACAGGGAAGTGGTTAGTCAGTCTTCTCCAGTGCCAATCACTAGATTTATGCTAGAGCTCTGCTGGGGATGAAGCTGATGCAGATGCAGTCACCTCCACTTGTTTATAAACAGGGTTTTCCAGTTCTGTTTCTTGCATATGCATACGGTGATGACATTGGTGCATGTTAGTCTTGCTGTTTGGGAAGCGAGACTCCTTTCCTAAGTACCAAGCTGAGGAGACAAAAGCAGAAGTTTTCTTAGAGCATATATGAGAAGCAGCATCACCTGGACCAGTTGCATGAAGCAGCCTGTTCACCAGTGCTGATGGCTGTGCTGCATACAAGTGGGAAGGCAGTAAGCAGTTCAGAGGTTCTCGTATGAGATGGGGAATTCAAGCTGGTAGTCAGCTCTGCTGTAAAACTGCCGTTTTTAAAACCAGCCTGGTTCAAAAGTTGCCTCCACTCAGTTTCTTGGATGCTACCTTCATCATTAAAGATGAGGCCTAATGGTGTGAAACTTCCCCTATTAAGTCCCTCTATTACAGACTCCTGAGTACTGGGGATGAAAGTAATTCTTAAGATGATCTTATCTTTCCTGTGTACGCATTTTTGAATCCTGGATTTCACAGGGGTAGGGAGGAAATGGGGAAATTGCCAGTGATATAACCCTCTCTATTTCCCTGTGAAACAGGTTTAAATGGGATGAACAGCAGCATATGGGAACACTTTGCTTCAGGGAGTTTTTCGCCCAGTACCTCACCTGCATTTCTGTCAGGTCCAGGTGCTGCTGAGCTGGCACGGCTACGACAAGAACTGGATGAAGCCAATGGCACAATAAAGCAGTGGGAAGAATCTTGGAAACAAGCCAAACAGGTACTTAAGCAACTCCTGGAAAGAGGAATTAGGGAGTGTAAAGGAGTAGGAGGGTGTCAGCATTTCACCAGGAGCTTTCCAGATAGTGACATAGTGGGAAGGGCTGTAGGTTCATAAGCAGATTCTCTTAAGCATTCTTATTCTTCCCTCTCCCTTGGCAAGAGGGACTGAATCACTGTGCCTGATGTGTTCAGATGCTGCAAGTGCAAAGCCAGGTATCATACAGATGCACTGGAGTGCTTGACAGTCTCTTAGACCTTCCAGTTGACTTAGCCCCATGACAATTTACCAATATACAGAGTTCATCCCCTTCATGGTGTGAGCCAGATATATAGAACCACAGCCCAACCAGATGGGGTGTTTGGGATGAGCAGCACTTTGAAGCAAAGTTCCAAGGATGTTTCCAAATCTGGGAACAGGGCAGGCTGGACAGAATGCACTCCAGGTGATGAGTGTATGGAAATGGATAATTTTGCCTGGGATAGTCTTTCGGAGGCTGACAGAGTTTTCAGACTGCTTCTTTTACCCTCTTTGTTGGAACTTGTAGGCTTGTGATGCTTGGAAAAAGGAGGCAGAGGAAGCAAATGATCGCGCCAACACAGCTAACATGGAATGTGAACTGGCCCGGGAGGAGAGGGAAGCCTTGGAACTTCAAGTGAAGAAACTGCAGGAGGAGCTGGAGAGGATCCATACAGGCCAGGACCCACAGTTTCTGTGCTCCTTTGCTGACCTGGAAACGCTCTCACTGTCTTCACTGTACACCCTTCAGAAGCAGCTGCGGGCAAACCTGGAGAAAGTTGATAAGGTGAGTGCCAGGCTTTGCTGGGCAGGGATTTTGCTCTCTCTGCTCCTACAGATCGTGGTGCTTTTCCCTTTTCTCAGGGAAGTCTGTCAAAGCAATTCCATGTGGACATAGCCAAAGTGAGTTTTAGCCAGCTTACAGGAAAATACCTACATCATCTTTGTGCCTAAAGCACAAGAGTTTGTCAGTCAAAGCTGTTCTGTTGATCCTAAAGGTCCTAAAAGTCATTGTGCTGTGCTGCTTTACTTTTGCTTCAGGTTAATGGGTGGACACATGCAGGTCCCTCCCCTGCTGCCTCCTTGCTGTTCCCCAAGTGCATAGTGAAGGACAGCAGCCCCTCTGTTTTGACTTTGATGCTTGTGTTTTGTCCTGTCCCCCTCTCTTGCAGGCGGTATTTCAGATGCAGTCAGTGAAATGCCTTAAGTGTCAGGAGGAGAACCGGGTGGTGTTACCGTGCCAACATGCAGTGCTGTGTGAAACCTGCGCCGAGGAGGGCGAGTGCCCCATCTGCCATCCCAACAGGCCCCACCCTCTCCAGTCGTGACCTTCCAAGGACACTTGTTCTAATCATATCGTATAGAACTTTTTAACTTTATACATACGTACATATATATGTATGTGTATATATATATGTATATATGTGTGTGTAAGTGCGTGTTTGTGGATGTGTATGTATATGCACGTACACGCACATACACACACAAAACAAAAATTAGTTGCAGAGCACTTTTTAATATTTTACATCCTGTATCTAAACTGCCCCTCACCTGTGCCCCATTAATTCTAACTCTTGAGGAACTTTGAGAGCTGTTTTTAATACAGATCAAAGGGCCATTTGCAAAGAGTCTGTGTTTCTCCTCTTTTCTATTTAGATAATAACAAATTTTTGACTATTCCCAGAAGGATTTAGAGTGGGCAAGACGGGCTTCCATGTGCTTTCCAGAGGAAGAGTTACAATCACAGGGAGGATCAAGGTGGATTGAAGTTACTAGTTCATGTCCTTGGTCTCCCTGCTTTTTCACTGACCCAGCTTGGTGAAAGCTGTCCTCCCTGATGGAAGCTCCGCTGGGTGCCTGCCTGGTGGGCCTTGCAGTGCTGAGCTCTGAACGTGCAGGAACTTTGTCATTTAATCAGCAAAGTTCGCTTTTTAAATTTTTTTACACTCTTTGTATATTTGTATGAAAAGAAGAAAAGAGGGGAAAAAATGTTTTGGACCTAGCACAAGCCAAGCCCCTAGATTCAGTGGCTAGTGTTCATTGCTAATGCAGCTGACATGTTTCAAGTCTGAGCATCCTTAGAAGTATTGCCCTTGTGTCAGCTAAAGGCCTTTATGAAAGAAATACAGATGCAGAGGCTGGTTCTCTCCAGGCACCCCTTTGTCTGGTGGTTCTTTGGAGACTTTTTACTGTTTCAGACCAGATTAATTTTGTTTTAGCCACAGGGACCTGATTCATAGCCACTGCTGAAATGCATGAAAACAATTCCAGGCAGACTGAGGACAGATTTTTGGTTTGGTTTTTTTTGGGGGGGGGCTGGGGGTGTTTTTGGTTTTGTTTTTTTTTTTTTTTTGTTGGTTTGTTGTTTTTTTGTTTTTTGGTGGGTTTTTTTTGGTTTTTTTTTTTAAGAGTCGATGTTTCCTCTGTCAGCACCTCCAGGATGGTTTGTTGGACCACTGGGTCCAGAAGCCCTCATGCTAGAGATCATGTGTACCTGTGGTGACAGAGAAAGTCCAGCATGACAAAGAAATGCCATCAGCTTAGACCTGTCCAGTAGCTGAGCTGTGACTTTCTTCAACCATGTGTCCATTGGGTTTTTACATGAGGTGGATTGCAGTAACCTGCTGGGATCTCAACCGAAAGGCCACGCAGTTGATGAAACATTTTTATTTTGCACAGGGATGCTGCCTGTGCTACCCCTCCCTGGCCTGGAAAAGCACTGGAACCTCCAGCAGCCCATTGTTGTAGGAAAACAGAATTTTTACTGGAGCCTCTCAGAAAACTTCATGTTTAATGCAAAGACATAATTAGGTTTGCTTCCATAATTCCACCGTTCCTTTACATGGAAGGGGTTCATATACATTCCCAGATGATCTCTAAGTGCAGCTCTGTGTAGTTCTTTGTATGTTTTTCCCATTAACTTGTTTCTGGGTTTTTTGGTAAAAATGCTTTTTTTTTTTTTTTTTTTTTTTTTTTTCCCCCCCATGTGTATTTTATTGTAACTAGCATCAGGTTTTTTTAATATTTTTTTTTTTATGGAGGGACACTGTTGAGTGACTATTGTGGCTATGTTGTTTGGTTATAGCCTTTGAATGTCTGTGCCATGGGGCAGTGCATCTGCCTTGGTCTGATCTTAAGGAGAGACCTTTAATGAAAATATGTGAGCATTTCTTAGCGAAAAAAAGGGGGGGGGGCCTGGAAAAAGTGGGGGGAGGAGGATAAAGCCCAATTAAGATAAAAATTTACTAAAATTTTTGTAACTAACTTAAATCATAGGAAAGAAAGTCTTGAATCGGGTCTTTAATATTTATAAGAACCAGAACAGCTCAGCCTCTTTCAGCTGTTGGTTTTCTAACACTTTCTATTAGTGTGGCGGGTTTTCTGCTCTCCTGCCTCCCTGTGGGACTCTTCAGGGTGATGCTGCCTTTGGCTACCCCTCTTCTGGCTTAAGACAACACTACCCTGGGTAAAACTGTCCAGCACCTACCTGCATGACTGCATCTGGCTCGCACTGGGCCTCTTCCCTTTGTCTCTTCTTTTCAGATAAAACTTTCAGATGTCTCAATGGGACTCCCAGTCCTGGTGTGATGCAGACTACTGGGTCTAGGGGGAAAAGAGGAATTTTCCCCCCATTTACCCAGGGTATATTGCTTAGGCAGGGGGGTACAAGATAAAATCCAGGCCAGAGAAATCCTGTTTTTCCCATTTGAGTAAAAGCATTTCTCTGGTTTAAAACTTACAGTGAAGGACCAAAGAATCCAAACCTGAACTTCCCATTGCCACACTGCGCTCATGGCTGAACAGCCTGAAGGAATTAGCACCAGCCTCTTCCTTTGCTCCCATCCAAGTGTATCTCAACACTCTTTTTGCACAAGCACATATGCTGTTTCTCACTTTCCTTTGGTTCTTCAAGAAACATGTCCTAAATTGAGGTTTCTATCAATTTCTCTGCTGCTTTAAAAAAATTTAAATCTGAAATGTGAATTATTTTCTTAAGCATCAGATGGAAAAGAGAACTTTCATCTTTGCATATTTTTGTGAATGTCTTAGGGGGCCATTTCCATGACAATTTTATAACCAAGGGAGAGGAGAGCAAGGGGCAGGGGCAGCATTCCTGGCCCGCACCAGCAGTGGTTCCTACCTGCCCTGGGCAGGAGTGATAAGCCAAAATCACAGCACTGCTTTTAAGTCTCTAAGCATCTCTATGGTCAGCTTCTCTGTGGTGATGTGCCCATGTAATGTTCTGTCAAGCTTCCTCCTGAAGCAGGAGCTCCCTTTTACAAGACATGTCAGAATTAAGCAAGCTTTTTTGGCCATGCTTAACAACAAAGTTTTGGTCCACAAAGCTTCTGCTGAGCTGCCCAGCTGGCTATTGGTGGCCAGCCATGACCACAACTGGGCCTTGCTTCTTCACACAGACTCCTTATGGATAATGGGATTTTCCTCCCCACATTTTTGGGAGCTTCAGAAGTGTTGACCTCAGTGACTAATTGTGCAGATCGGATGCACACGTAGTCTGAGTTAAGAGCTGGGGAAGAGATTCTTAATTCTGTTGTGAAACTACAGTAACTTAAAGGTCAAACTTGTACATTATTATGAAAAACAATATAGAAGCAGATGACTTAAGACAACACTACCCTGGGTAGATAGACATCAAAAAGCAAGGCGATAGCCAGGAACTGAGGAATTTTGGCAGTGCTTTGGACTAAAAGGAGCACTTCTAGGTCACCTCTGGCCTTAGATGCTATAGCCATCTACCAGCTGTGGCCAGGGCATGGTGGCACAGGAGGGACCAGGGGAAGGTCTTGGACCTGGAGCACATTTTTCTTAAGCAGATTTTCCCCCTGAAGGGGGTTGCTGTAGCCAGTCCTGTGCTGCAGGGTTTTACACTTTCTGTACATCTCTGAAGCTGAACTTAAGCCACCTGCAAGGCTTGGTGCAGCTGAGACAGTGAAGAGAAGCCTTTACCCTGTGAGGAGGCCTGTAATGCTGGACAGGCTCAGTAATACATTGCTGTTCCACCAGCCTCCCAACCTCCTCTCTTTTTCCTCATTTGAGAAGGAAGGATATTACTAGTGTTTTCCTCCAGAATTATAATAATCCTTGGAGTGATGGCCAACAGAATAGATGTTACTGATGTAAAACCTGGTATATTAAAGGTGAAGTATTCCTGCAAACTAGTGACTGCGTCGGAGATTTTTCTGGGGCTTCCCTGCTCCGTAGCTTCCAATGTTAAAAAAAATAAATACAGTATACGTTTAAAAATAATAATAATACACACTGCAGTATTTCTGGTGGCAATTCTTGACCAGGCTCATCCCCAGTTGGAAGGGCACTGGGCAGAAGCGCCCCTAGTCTGTGTAGAAGTTGGCAGAATGGTGATCGGTGCTGTGTAAAATGTGTTGTTGATTCCATGTATAGAACTGTGATTTCAGCTGTCGTTCTCTCGTACTCTGTAAATATGTGTTTTGGCTGTCGGAAACCCGGTTTAGACTCTTTTTCTTGGCAGAGTGAATTTGCATGTGGGGCTGGCAAGAACTCGATCTGTGTCACAGTTTCCAAGGGCAGAATGGATTTGGTTGTTTTTTGGTTTGGTTTGGGGTTTTTTTTTGTTTGGTTTTTTTTTTTGTTTTTTTTTTAGATGACAATAAATTTTTATTTTTTTGCTAAGAAAAAAGTTCACTGAAGCAGCATGTGTGCGTGTGTGCGCATGGAGCCTGGGGCAGATGTGCAGCCTCATGCCCTGCTGAGGGACTCAGGGAGGTGTGAACTCTGGGCAGTGGAATCCTCAAAACAGTCTAGAGCTAGATTTGCCTTCTCCCTTTCAGGTCACCAAGAGCAACTTCTTCCTGAGCTCCCTGCTGGATCAAGCCTCATTTGTTAGTGTGGGTGGGTGGGATTGCCTTTCACCTTTATGATCAAGGTGCAATGGAAGAGGGGGGATGGTGATGCAGTGCAGTTGGGTGGGGCAGAGAATCATAGAACCAGACTGGTTTAGGTTGGAAGGAACTTTAAAGATCATCTAGTTTCAACCCCCTTGCTATGGGCAAAGATCATTTAAATCACCCAATTTTTATTACAGATTATTACTAGTACAATAAATTCCAGAGGCTGCCTCCCCCCTTCCCGCTTACGTTGTAGCAGTCTGCCTGTGTTGGGGTTCTTCACCAGGATGATGATGACAATGATGGGGGTTTCTTCCTCCTCAATCTTACATATGCTAGGAGCTGGTTTTGTGTGCTTCAAGCCATACCTTTTTAATGCTTAGGCTATTCTTCTGGTCCATGGGGTTAGTTAAACAATCCAAGCGTAGTTTCTTTCTCTGTAAAGGGTATGATTTCTTTACGGGTGGGAGTCACACAACTGCCCGAAGCTGAGCAAAACATACAATACCTTGGATAATAAAGTACGAACAACCCCAAATCTGAGGTTTGCCTGTGTCACACTGGTTGCTGTGGTGAGGCCAGCCTGGATGATGGGCAGCCCAGGGAAAGTTAGAGCACAACCATTTTAAACTTAGAGCTAACCCCAAGGCTCAGCACTATGTAACAGCCTTGCAAAGGAGCATGAGGCCAGGTGCTGGTGGATGCCAACACCAAATGAGCTGCAGGGTGTAGGCATGGGGCTTCCCCTCACTGGGAGCAGCAGCAGCAACCTGGGATGGCATCTCCTCCTCTACAAGCAGGGACCCTTCTCCAAAACCTTATTTCTCTGCAGAGCTACAAGGGGGTGGGGAGAGGCTGAAACAAGTGACTTAAACCAGCAAATGATTTCTTGTGAGCCAGCAGCACCTTAATCCTCTTGCTTCAGGGTTGATTGAGCCTTGCCATGTCACACAACAGAAAAGGAGCTTGTTGGGGTTTTTTCCCACCCCTGCATTGAGAGCTTGTCTTGAACTGACCCTGCGGTTACTCTACCCAGTGGGTGCTCAGGCATCCAGGAGGGTGATGCTTCTAATTCCCCAGGACATGGCAGCTCCCAGGTACCCACTGCAGTTCAAGCACAGTACTCCCTTGCAGGGTGAGGGCAGAGGGACTTCCCCATTTATAATTAGTAATAACTAGTAATAAATGCAGGTAAGATGAAGCCCAAAAAGCACCAGCAAATGGAATCACAGAATTAGAATAATTTAGGTTGGAAAAGACCTTTACGATCATCAAGTCCAGCTGTTAACCCAGCACTGCCAAGTCCACCACTAAACCATAGTCCCTAAGCACCACATCTACACATCTGTTAAATACCTCCAGGGATGGTGGCTCAACACTTGGGCAGCCTGTTCCAGTGCTTGACAACCTTTTCGGTGACATTTTTCCTTATATCCAGTCTAAACCTCCTCTGGTGTAACATGAGGCTGTTTCCTCTCATCCTGTTGCTTGTTACTTGGAGAAGAGATCCACCCACACACACCTGGCTTCATCCTCCTTTCGGGTAGTTTTACAGAGCAGTAAGGTAGCCCCTGAGCCTCCTGTCCTCCAGGATGAACAACCTTGGTTCCCTCAGCCACTCCTCGTAAGACTGGTGCTCCAGAAGCTTCAGCAACCACCTAACCCACTGGGCATTTTTGCCCCTGTGTCACCCCACATGCACCCTGCAGCACTCCCACACCTGTCAGAGGGACCCAGGTCCCCAGCATAGACTGGGGGCAACACCGAGGACCTGCTGCTGTGCCTGGGTTCTGGGCAGCCTAAAGCACCGTGAGATTTGGCTGGTGGGGCTGCCCATGCTCCTTATTGCTGCAGACGACATCCTGAGGTCAGTACAGGTGGTGGTAAAATACAAAAACCCCAAGAGCTATGCGCATTTTTAAAAGAAAAACGAACACGGAACCAGAAATCCTGGCTGGCTGCAAGAGGAAGGTGCCAGGTCCAGTGCCAGGCTGGGCAGTAATGGCTCCTGCCCTCTCCCAGCACTCCGTAGCTGAGGACACACAGATCTGCATGGGGTCCTTCTTTCATCATCAGTTACCACCCACTGCCCGTCCTAAAAGCCTTTTAGCCAGACCTTGGCATTATGTGTGAGTCACAGATCAAAACCTAGCTCTGTCCTCAGCTGGACAGTGGCAGCTTTCCTGGCTGATTTATACCTTGGTATAGGTGGTATTTTGCAATGGTCCATAACTCAGAACAACACTACCTGAGTCCCTGCAGAAGAAAACAGCCCAGCCAATTCAGCATGGCCAAGCCCTTGCCCAAACTGATACTCTGAGGGCTAGAGCACCTCTGCTATGGAGGGATGCTGAGAGAGCTGGGCTTGTTCAATCTGGAGAAGAGAAGGCTCCAGAGAGACCTTACAGCAGCTCCAGTGCCTAAAGGGGCTACAAGAAACCTGGAGAGGGGCTTTGGACAAGGGCCTGGAGGGACAGGACAATGGGAATGGCTTTAACCTGCCAGAGGGGAAATTGAGATGAGCTCTGAGGCAGAAGCTCTTCCCTGTGAGGGTGCTGAGGCGCTGGCACAGGGTGCCCAGAGAAGCTGTGGCTGGCCCAACTCCCCGCAGGTGC